GAAGAAAAGTCAAGGGAAGGGAACATCATCATGATGTGAACACTACCTGCAAATAGTAAGTCACTATTTCTGGGCTACCTAAGGCTCTTGGAGTTTCCTTCCAGTCTGGAGATTATAATTCTATAACCTTGGTTCCTTGGCTGCCTCAGCAAGCAGAGTCTGGGGACCCAATTCAGATAACAGCAGGAAATCAAGACTCAGAATAAAAATCTCTGTTATTTAAAAAGTATCCTCCATTCAAAGATCTCAAAGGTTAGGGACCGAAAATACACACAAGCTGGTTTAAGTGATCAGAAACTGGTTTAAACCTACAACAGAACAGAAGCTCAGTGCACATAAACAAGTTTCAAAATGGCTGAAACTGGTTTAAGATAAACCTGGTTGAATGTAGTATCAGACTTACCTGATTTAGGTCAAACCGATTTATGAAACTTCTCTCCCAGACCCCTTCCTGGTTCAAGTTAAATCACAGCCCCCCAGCATGCTTTCCAGCCCTTGGCTGGGCTATCTGCTCCAGAGAGCAGGGCTGGCCCCACCCCTCTGCCCCCTAGCTGGAGCAGTAAGGGCTGGCTGATAATGGGGGGAGGGGGAGAATGGACAAACCCAGCTGGGTCAATCTACAGGGAAGGACTGCCCCACTCCCCAGGCAAACCCCAGCTGAGGCCTGGGACGAGGGAGGGGGCCTAAACACCCCTTCCCCTGCTCAAACTTACTGTTGGCTGCAACTGTGGACTACAAATCCCAGAGGCACCTGAAAGCAGGAAGAGGAAGTGATGAGTCCCACACAATGGTGGGAGTCTATTACAGACCTCCCACCCAAAGTCCTGAGCTTGACCAGGAGTTTGCCCAGAAACTGCCTGAGGCAGCTTGCTCCAGGACCATGGTTGTCATGGGTGACTTCAATTACCCAGACACCTCGTGGGAGGATCGCTCAGCAAAATCTGAGCGGTCGCAGAGCTTCCTCTCGTGCGTGGATGACCTCTACCTGACTCAAGAAGTCTATGGGCCAACGAGAGGCAAAGCGCTGCTCGACCTGGTACTGGCTACTGGGGATGACCTAGTCGGCGACCTAGTGATCGATGGGAAGCTGGGTGACAGCGACCACGAGCTGATCACCTTCACCATCCGCCGAAAAGCTGGCAAGTCGGTCAGCAACGCGCAAGTCCTTGACTTCAGGAAAGCCGACTTTGACAAGCTCAGGAGGCTTGTCAGTGAGGCCCTAAGGGACCGTGACCACAGGGAGAGGGGAGTTCAAGAGGAGTGGTTGCTCCTCAAGGGAGCGATCCTCAATGCACAACCTAAGTCTATTCCATCTTGGAGGAAAGGCAGCAAGAGGGCACAGCAGCCCCCCTGGCTCTCCAGGGACCTAGCAGATCTCCTGAGGCTAAAAAGAAAGGCCTACAAAGGGTGGAGGATGGGAGTCACCTCCAAGGAGGATTATTCTGCACTGGTCCGGTCCTGTAGGGAGCAGACCAGGAAAGCCAAGGCTGCAACTGAACTCCAACTAGCTTTGAGCATCAAGGACAATAAAAAGTCCTTTTTCAGATATGTGGGGAGCCGGAGGAAAAGCAGGGGCAACATTGGACCCCTCCTGAACCAGATGGGGCAACTGACAACTGACGCCCAG